AGGAAGGCATTTAGAATTCGGTTCTCCAAAGGGAGCTTTCCCACAGGCAGCGTGGTGAGGCCAGTCTCCTCGAAGCAATTGCGACGGTCTCCTGTGAGCACATGCCTTGGTCGCAGAGGAGGTGGGCACCTAAATACCCTCATGACTGTGGTGCTAAAAGTCTGTTCTGGAGCATGTTCCAAGCACAGCTTTACACAGGAAACAACCCTGTGCTGCATAAACCAATAATGAGCATGATTCCAACACTGGAAGCCCTGCGGGGTAGCCTTGTGCACTCTTTAGGGAATTCTCCCACAAGGGGGTGGGAATATACTTCTTTCTGGAATGGCTTTGGGCAAGACTAGAACATGGGCCTCCTGGGTAGACATCAGGATTTATTTAGAAGCAGAGTAGGTGAAGGTTTCTGTACCAGTTAAGTCAGTCACACACTGGAGGCTTTTGAGGCACTTCTTTCCTGCAAAGACTAGAAGACTGTGGGCCTTCTGCACACCGCAAGGTGGATGGTGAGGCAGCTTCCATATTTTCTGATACACGTCATTGGCATTGGCACATTGCTGGGCATCATGAAGTCACAATGGCTGTCACCAGGATGACAAGGCTGGGTTCCTCACAGTGTGTGGGAGGTAGACTTTCCGATCTCAAGGTCTTTTCCAGCTCTGCCATTCTAAGATGTGCCCTAGGCACCCAGGAAAGGTGCGGTGGGGTGGGGGGTGGGGGCAGCTAGGGAGGATCCTCCACTGGGCAGCAAGAGGACGAGGAACAAGTCTACTTAATGCTCTTAATACCACAAACTGCCCGCTACTGGGGAAGAGGCCTCCCTTCTCTCCAGTAGCGGGATGTGACTGCAGGGCAGACGCCTCCATCACACAGGGTCCCAGGCAGCTGTGGGCACAATCAGCTGTGAGACAGGTCTGCAAAGAGAGCCCTAATCTGCATCTGCTAATGAGGAGTGACCCGCCTGTGGTCTGTGAGCACAGTGGAGGACAGGCCCATTAGTCACAGACTGGAGAGCACAGGACCAAGGCACAGGGCACCCAACAAGATGCACTGTGTACTACTTGAATCACCTCTGAGATGTCCAGTCCTCCCACAGGTTGCCATTAAGCCTTCCCTATCATTCCTGAGCTGCAACATTCCCTCTTCTCTAAAAACTCCCCAGTCGTGGAGGCTGTGCCTAGGATAGGGGGTGCACACCGGAGATGTAAGTAATAATAACTAGGAGTTTGTGACAGCTTGCTGTTCCAGGACAGAAATTCTAGCCTACTCATCTTTATCCAAGTGCCTCATTTTGGGCTCATGGCAGCTGCTCAATGGAAGTTTATGAAATGAATGGGTGGCCCACCTTATGAATTATCTGTGGAAGTGTCCCCCCTCCCGAAATGTTTGATTGCAGAGAAAATGGCTCCCTCCCCACCCCACTCCCAAGGTGAGGAAGGGTCATTTCAGAGGTCAGGGGGAAGTGGGGCGAGATGGCTTCACTCCCCAAGGCCGGCTGGTAAATGGGGAGCAACACCTATTATTCAAGCCCTGGGAAACAAGCTGTCACCCACAGGGCCAGCAGGGGGACTGCACTCACCCGTTCACAAAAATAGTAGCTGGGCGAGCACCAATCGAGTTTCCCAGATCCGGAATTGCAGGCCTCCAACAGGCCTCCCACCAGAAAGGAGGCTAAGATGTGGCTCATGCAGTAACTATTTCCTCACACTCTTGTTTAGATGTGGATCCACGCACACAACCCTAACCCCAAACCGCCACCCTCCTCACCCTCTTTCAAAAACACCAAATAAGTCAAGGGCTGAGACACTCGGTTCTGCACAGATATTTTAAATTAATCTTGAAGCAACTTAAAAGGACTGTTTTTCTCTCCTGCCCCACACCCAGCACATTTTCTGTGGCAGCTAGGTCAAGCCTGAGCCACATTTTCATCACTGACTCAATATCAAAATATTCCTGGGCTGTCTTCTTCCCATCCTCCCTTCACTGCCCCTGTTTCATTTTTGATATTCTCTCCCCCGCCTCTACACACACATCACAGACACACACACAGACACACACACACACACGCCTTTTTATGGTATGAACACACCTGGGACATGGATCCTAAACTTAGAGTCCTGCATAGAACTGAGGGATTGTGTACTTGGATAGGAAAAAAATACGCCTTGATTTTCACTAACCTTTAACTGAAATACAGCATTCCCTTTGATTATGAATGTAGGCAGCAAACTACATTAATGTTAGCAATAGTCATGCCTCTGACAGCAATAGAAACACACACATGTTGCCCTGAAATGTCATATATGCTCATCAGTACTTCAAAATTATGGTAGTTATAGGACTTCAAATAGAGCTTGTTATTTAACGTGTTCCTAAGCCAGTGTAAAAGTTACTGTTGTTTTTAAAAATGCAATAACTGTACTTCAATAATTATTTTCCAAGCCTATATATTATTTTGTACCTTTACAAATGTTATTCTGAGAAGGGTCCATAGCACAGAAGGTTAAGAGCCCCTGCTGTCCAGTGGACATTCAAAGGTGGGATTTGAGATTGTCCCCAGAGTCCCCGGGGCGTGGGCCAGCGGGCTCAGGGCTTGACAGGCAGTGCTCAGCAATAGCATGAGGCAGCTCCTGGGAGCAGACAGCTGGCACGGCTGCTGGGTCAGAGTTTGGGGGGGCTTCGGACATAGACCCAGTACTGGCTCTGCCTGACCCACAGTGTGATCTTGGGCAAGCCACTTCATCTGTCTGAGCTTCCAGTGCCTGTCAGCATCCATTCTGAGCGTTCCTGGACTGTGAAATAGGGACAATACTATACCATAAGAATCTTGTGAGCATGAATTGAGACGATACAATGTGTGGCAGAAATGACTGCTTAGTTGACCCGTGCCTGGCCGACTCTAGAAGGTCAGCCTTCCTTCCCTACCTGGGGATTTCTGAGGCTCAGGTGTTCTGTTTTGTTTGTTTTGTTTTGTTTTTGAGACAGGCACTATCTGTGCCCCATGAAGGCTTCCCATAACCTTGAGCTTCAGGGATGCGGTGAAATGCCTCCAACAAAACACTTCTAGGCAGACCTGAGTCCCCTGCCCTCCCCTTCTGACCGTGGCTCACTGAAACAGGCTCCCGCGCCAGACTGCAAAGCAGATTCCCTGCCCCAGAGCAGAAGAGACCGCAAGCAAGAAGGAGACGTCCAGACCTTTCCAATATTGGCCACAGGAGCCAAAGTACCTGCCGCTGGCTTCACAGAGCAGCTGCTTCTGACCTGGTGTCTCTCCTCATTTGGTGAGCAGTGACAGGGATTCTGTAGTCCCAGGGGCCCCTCCCAGGGTGGGGCAGGGCCAGGGTTGGACCTCGGCTGCCAGGCCCCTGGGCAAGGAGGCGTCAGGAAGGCCGGGGGAGACCTCAAAACTCCTAAGGTTGTGCCAGAAACCCCTCTACATGTCCCTTCCAAAAACTGGCTTAAATTTTGTGGAAAGCGGCTATGCAGTCTTTAAAAATCACATATGTTGGTTTTCATCTGATTTTATAAAAGATTAGAAAATATAAGGAGAAATTAAAATCAACCATAAGCCTGGCCCCTTGAAATCAAAACTATTAGCACTGTGGTGAGTTTTTTCCCATTTATACCTGTGTTAGCACTCTCACATAAATTGGGATCATAATCATATACAGTTTTGTAGCCTGATTTCATTACTTACAAATACCTAGAGACATTTTCAATACAGGCTCTTAAAAGACACAAAACCATTATGTCAGACGCTGTCGGTAAAACTCACAGGTGACTGAGATGTCCTGGTATCGCTAAGACTAGTATTATGCATTTAAATATAAGTTCCCCCCAGAAAACTGATAGGAGGAAAACCCATTTCACTCTTCTTAAAGTGCATATTATGTATGAAGTAAACTCCCTTCTTTAGCTTGGAGAGAATCTAGAGAAGATACTTTTGTGTCTTTGGCAAATAGGCACGATCCATCTTTCTTTTTCACTTTCTCATATGTCCCCTGATAAGGGGAAAGCTTTGAAAAGTCACTGCTGGAAAAATGGGGTCTCGCTTGAGAAAGTACTCAGCAGCTGAGGAAAAACCTCCAGAAAGAAGTGGTATGGAAGGAAGAGCCCTGAACTTCAAAGGGAAGAAAGCGGGATTCATATGTCAAGTCTGCCATTAAAGCCCCAAGATCAAAGAGCACCCGTTTCCCTGCATGTCAGCTGAGGCACCACCACCCACCTCAAAGGATCAAAGGGCCGCACAGATTAAATAAGAGGCCGCCTGTGAAAGCACTTGGTCAATGGTAAAGGACACTGCAGGACAGTAATCACCAAGTCGTAACAGTATTATTATTGCTGTTGCTCAGCCGACTTGCCCCACTCGCTGCATGTCCTGACAGGGGCAGAGTGCCCCGGTGTACAAGTGTGGACTCTGGAGCCACCTCGCATGGCTCAGGTTGGCTGTTATTTACCTTTCTGGTTTCTTCATCTGTAAAACGGGATAATGATAATACACCTACCTCATAAGATTGTTGAGATGTTTAAAATAAGTTAATTTACACGTGGTGCTTACGACAGTACCTGGCACATAATAAACACTATGTAAGGGGAGCATTAAAAAGCCAGTGATCAATGACCAAATATATGATTAAAGTAAATCAGCCAAAACCAGTAAGCACATTTTTTTTTTTTTTTGAGAGAGAGAGAGAGAGAACACACACAAGTGGGGGGGGAGGGGCAGAGGGAGAGGGAGAATCTCAAGCAGGCTCCACATTCAGCATGGGGCCCCACAGGGGGCTTGATCCCACAACCCTGAGATCACCACCTGAGCCAAAATCAAGAGTCAGCCGCTCAGCCGACTGAGCCACCCAGCTGCCCCCAGTAGGTACATTTTTTAAAGCTTTCCAAGGAAGTATTATTCATCAGGAAGTTGTACTAGCAGCCTCCATAAGCTCCCCTAAAAAGCTATGGGCCCCCTCTCCCCAAGCTCCACTTGGGTTTGGCGGCTCCCCTCCTACCTTCTCGGCATCCTGCTCGAAAAGCCGCAGCTGGAAGCACTGGTCCAGCTTGAGCTTGCGCACGTGCCACATCTGGTGCAGGTGCTGCCGGGTGGAGTGCAGCTTGTCCAGGAGGCTGGTGATCTTGGGCACCAGGCTCTGGAAGTCGGCGCTGCCCGGGATGCAGTTGCGCCCCGAGAACCCGTCGCTGCAGCGGATACACTGCAGCAGCCGCTGCCCCTCCCGGTCCAGCTCCTCCACGGGGGCCTTCAGCACCTTCTTCTTGAGCTGTGTGTGCTCGTCGATGAGCCGCCGGGAGCCTTCCACGTCCACCGGGAACTCCTTCCGGGCCAGCATCTCCTGCAGGTCCTCGAGGCGGGACAGCAGGTGCACAGCACTGTTGAAGAACTCCTCCAGGGAGAGCCGCAGCTCGATCCACTCCTCGTGGTTGTAGTCCAGGGAGCCATCGAACTCCTCGGTCAGCTGGGAGGGGTCCACCAGCTTCGTGAGGCCCTCCACGGACACCATGCTTGTCTGGGAGGGGCAGACACAGAGAGGGGGACTCAGTGATGTGGGGCGGGCAGGGCAGTGGTAGGCAGAAGGCAGGAAGTCAAGTGGAAAGGCTGAGATAAATCCACACATTAATGACCACAGCGTGCCTCAGAAAGGGCGAGTGGGAGAGCATGCAGGAGCCGCAAACCAGCCAGGGTCAGCATTTCAACAGACTGGCTAAGAGTTCAGGACAATCTCTCGAGCCTCTTATTCCTTCCAAGACTCACTGGTAAGGCCACAGTACCCAAGGAATCCTGAAATATCAGCCCCTGCCATCCTGCATATCATAGGATAGGTGAAGAAGCAGAAGTGAGAAATGTGTGGGTAGCAGAAGGGGAAAGGAAAGGGTGTGCGAAGAGAGAGGTCTGGCTCACCTCGAAGATGAATTTGGAGCTGCCGAAGTTGGTCTTCTGCTTCTGCCAGAAGTTGTCGGGTTTGATGATGAGGGCCACATGGATCTCGGCTGGAAAGGCTTCCTGCAGCGTCTTGAGGAGGGGCTTGATGAGGTCCCACTTGGAGCCCCGCATGTCGATGATGACGGTGAAGCCACGTTTGCACACGTCCTCACTGTGGGGAGATCAGAGGTCAGGCATGGTCACTCTGGGTGGATGAGACTTTGGGGAACACAGTCAAAAAGCATCCCAGAAACCTGCATTCCTTTTAATCTGGACACCCCTCCAACTTCACACCATGTCTCCAGTGCAAAATGCACTGCCTCAGAAAACCTTTCCAGATTAACCCCATCTGACCAAGGGCATTCTGGCTTCTCCCAGCACTTAGCAAGTAACTCAGCCTTCCCTACAGTCAGTTGTACTTGTTTGGATGTTTACTATTCCAGCGTTCATAATTGTGTTTTACTTTTTTGTCTCCTTTTCTTGCTCCTGGCATGAATCATGCTTTCCCTATTTGAATGCAAGCTCTCTAAAGACAAGGACCCTATTGCCCTTAAATCTGAGATGGAAAGTCTTTGGTATGCGTCTGTCCTTCCCTGTGCCCACATCAATGACAGACACTGGTATGCTTTACCACTGAACCCAAACTGGGCCAAAAAATCTTTGTCCATAAAGGGCTCTAGGCTGATTCTATCCATTGATTAGCAAATGGTACAAGAAGCACTGATAACATATATTTGCCACCATTGTATTTAAAATGTGTAACTTATAGTTTAAATGTATATCAATTTTTTTTTTTTTTTTTAAATCAGGTTGCTGAGTCGTGCTGATTGCTCTTAGATGGCCAAGGGTGGGACTGGCTGGGACGTGGATGTAGTCCAGTTTTCTCACGTACTTCCATTACACCAGCCCGGGTGTAAAAAGGCGTGTTTCAGGAAGCTAAGAGAGGGGAAACTACTCTTGAAATCAAGGCCAGATGACGATACAGTGACCATCTTGAAAACCAAAAAGTAATCAGGCTAAGTGAATCAAGATGTTGCCATACAACTTATTAAGTAGCAACCTGTCTCTAAGCACTTGGACTTTATAACTCCTAAGAAATGGAAGGGAAAAAAAAAATGCAGGTCAAAATAGTTATAACATGTCAGTGTGGAAGAAATTCTATGTTTTGATAGTTAGGGGTATTTCCTTCCATCCTTCTTAGTTTATTTAACCTATGTATCTATTTTATAACTCAAAACAGATTTTGGTTAATTCACATTTTTATATAAATCCTGGTGTAGTACTACCTTAGGGTGTTTTGTTTAATTTCCTATTTCCCAGATAGCACTTGCTTCAACCACTGTGCATGCTGCATAACCCACAGATGTGTCCCACCACCCATCAGTCATTTAGAGCTACTGGAGGTAAGGCCACAATTGGACGATTTGAGCCACAAAAGGAAACAAAGCCCCTTTTCAGGCTTCATTCTCAAATCTCAACCAATGATGAGAATGTCACAGACGGTGAAGAGACCACAGCCCCTGTGATTGTGTGAATGTCTCAAGCATACAGCAGTTTACTTAGGCTTCCCAAAACTCCCTGGGCAAGGAGACTCTTTCCATTTCTTGTTGTTGATACAAAAAACTAGACTCAACATGAGAGGAAGCCTGAGTCTTTTGTTCCTCCTCAAATCCTGCACCCCAAAGAAAAGGAGTTGCCTCTTCTCCTTCTTTGACTCTTACTGAGACGACAAATGGCCAGAATCTTCCATAAATAATTTTCTCCGCCCCATCATCTGAAAGCAAAGTGACTCTTTCTTAATTTATGGAATTTCCTTCCCATTATAAAAGAAATACCTGCTAATTATAGAAAAGTTAAAATATTCAAAGATCTACGTAAGAGATGCTAATGGTAAGAAGCTATAATACTCTGGTCTGTTTCCTTCCTGTCTTTTTTGTGCATGTAATTTTCATACTGCATAGTGTTCTGCTTTTTACTGCAACACAGAATTTTTTCTCATACCTAAAATGTCTTCAAAACTATTACATTTAATGACGCATAGTCCACCTTATACCTATACCGTAACATAATCGTTCTCATTAGTTCTTTACAGAAAGGCATATCAACTTCTATGTCCACTAACCATGTGTGAGAGTCGCCCCCCTTACTGTATCCTCATCAGCACTGGCCAATGAATTTTTTAAATCTCTGCCCATTTTCTAGGAAAAATATTGCATTACATTTAAATTTGCATTTCTTTGATTACTAGCTATAGCTTATTGGCCCATAAGTATTTCTCTGTGACTTACCCAATTAGTTCTTTTATCCATTTTTCTATTGGAGTTTACTGGCTTCTCTCATTGTTCTTAACTTTATTTGGCTTGACTCACAGTCACTGCATGCCCACTATGTCAGGCACTGCAAGGTAACCGTGGTCTTGCCTTTCCTTAGAGATGACCAGCTTCCTTGTTTACCTGCTCCCCGGGTTCCACGGTTGTTACTGTAATTATGCTGACAGGAGAAATCTTCATCCCTAACGACAAATAGTCAGTGTTGCCATCAAGAGCTGGAGTGTGACTATCCCAGTATCTAAACGTGGTGATCAGTAGCAGCCTACACACTATTAACTAATAATCCCTGACAACCAAAAGTAGAAACAGGCACTAATATTCTCTAGGAAATTCTCCCTAGCTCAGGAGATAGGGACAGGCGCCCAGGGGCTGAGTGCTGAGAGCTAATCTAATTGGCATCTTTCTATGAAAGCAGCCTAATCTCCCAAGGCGCTCTGTATGTTTGGTTTCAAGGAAAGAGCATGGTTGGGGGAGGGAAAAGAACTTTTTACCAATGCTTATTCTATGCCAGGGCCTGGGGTCGGGCACTTGATACCCATTATTTCATTTTATCCTTACAATAATTTATACACTTGGTCTGGTTTTCTCCATGCAAGAAATAACTGAGGCACAGAATTTGCCTAAAGTCACATGACTACTAAGTGGATAAACAGAGACAAAACCAAGACTTTAAAGCCCATGCTCAGGTCACTATATCATATTATACCCTACCATTTGCCACTACATGTGTTTCATGTGTTTTTGTAATTGAGGGTGGGGGTTAAGAGTCTATGATAGGGGATTAGGTTAGGATGCTCACAGGAGTTGAGGGCAAGTAGGACAAGGCCTCCAATTTATGTCCTCTATTCTGCAGTCTGTGCGAAATCACAAAATCACAGAAGCAAGAGGGCATGGCATGTTGAAAAGTTCCAGCAGTTCACTTTGTTTAGGCACATGGATAAGAGGCAGAGAGTGATGAGAGGGTGCTGCTCTAAGTGCCTTAGAGAGCCCTGTTCTGGGTTCTGACCCTCCTCTTGCACACCCTCCCTTCACCACGGAACAAAGCAACTTGCCACCTAGAGTCCACCCACCTTCTAGACTAAGCTCCTACTACCTAAAACCCTAAAATTCTCCACCCAAAAGACCCTTAACCTACTTCCTGGGCCCACATGTACCTCTTTTTTTTTTTTTTTT